GGCGTGCAGGGGTGGGCGAGGCGGCCTCTTTTGACGGGGAGCGGGCGGAGAACGGCGGACCGATCGGGCCATGCAGACGGGCTCTCCGTCGCGCGACTGCCCTCTCGCTCTTCCTCCCTCTTCGCTCTCCTGGCGGGTTGCGATGGGGGTCTCAGACAATGGGCGGGAATGGGGTCCCCTGGGAGCTTCGGAGGGGTGTGTGCCCTGGAGGCGCAGCGCCAGGTCTTTGTTTCTTGCACACTCGCCTATCCCTGGCGAATCCGAGCCAGGGGTCAGTCCGGAACCTCTTTGTTTCCCCGAATTGAGGAATGTGAGTTAAGTTCGTGAGGGATGAGTGTTGGCTGTGAATTTACATAAACACATGTAAATATGTACGTTGGGTTGGGGGTATACGCGTGTAAAAATGAACTTACATCATCCACATAGTGCATTACCTTAGGTTCTATTACCTTATATTACATCACCACGAAAATATTTTTAAGAGTGGCTCCCAGAGAATCCAAGATCAAACCAGGTAACCACATCTCAATGCTGAACTGTCCACCCTCGCAGAAGATTTCACCAGTGGGGTGGCTGCCTGCAACTGTTAAAAGAAATATTAAGCCATCCTTTTCAGCTCAAGGGAGTGGTTTGGAGATCTTAGGCTGAATCAAGAAGAGCCTCCAAGATGCTTTGAAGAAAGGATGAGAAAACAGGGCTCCCTTTAGTTCCACATACACAACACAAATTAACCAGCCATCTTACTTCATCTACAACAATGTTCTTTGAGTCTGGAAACAAGACATGCAACAGACGTGAGCTTCTGCGTTCTGGGCACCCTGGATATGCAGGGTTATGCCAGTGACTCTTACACGTCCACATATCCCTGCCAAATCTGAGATCTGTTCTCCAAGAAAAGAGGAAAGATTGGTAAAGGGGCTCAGGGGCTCATGAGGAGCCTCTTGATGCTCAGATCCTCAGGATCTGCCATTCAGGCAATTCTTCCCCTCTGCCCTCAATTAGGGTTGAACCCTGCACCTGAACGTGATGGTTGAATAAGGAGAGGACTTTTTCTGAAGAGGATGTATGTCTTCCAAACTGCTGGAAGTGCCAAGAAACCTCCTAGAAGATAGGAAAAAAGTCAGATGGGGGGAGCAAGGAGATGGTGGCATATGACACAACAGCTCAAGCTTGTCCAGAAAAGCTCTTTTTTGTCTTTGGAGCTTCAGAGACTCTCCAGAGATGATGCTTCTGGACCACTGAGTGAAAAGCAACTACCACAAGCTCCGGGCTGAGGAAGAGGCCTCTACAGGCTATGCAAAGGTAAGGATTCCTTCCTCTTCCCTGAAGAGGAAGAAGTGATTGGGGTGGTGCTTAGAGATTCTTTTCCAAGAGGGACCAAAGCTAGAGTCTGGTGGTCTGTCAAGAGAAGTCCTTCTTTTTTGAGACTCACAATCTGGGGCAGAACAGCTTCCAAGACTCCTTTAAGCCCACTGACAGTTTGCCCGTTGAACCAGGCAGATGCAGTCCTGAACATATTCCACAGGACTCTGATATTGCATTTGGGTGTGAATACAAGAATGGGAAACCATCATACTGTTGTGAGGATGGACTAGAGCCAACCAAGCCAGGCAGAAGATTTGGATTATGGCCTCGTGGGCCAGGTAACAGAACTTTCAGGGAGACAGGACATAGCAGTAATGGGAGACTATAACTACTTAAACATCCACTGAAAAACCACCTGAGACTGCAGGTCCCAAAATTCTTCAGTGGTCTAGCTGTTTCATTTTCCAGAAAGATGAAGAAGAGATAATCTAATCTTATTGGTTAAGTTTCACTAACCAGTTGGGAAGAACAGGTCCAAAAGAGAAATGCAGGGAGAACTTTAGGAGGAAGTAACTCTATCATCTTGGGTCTCAGAAGACTATAGAAAGAGAAGTTGGAGCAGAGCTGTACGTGTAGATTGCATTCAAGGAGGACCAATTTCAACAAGCTTAGAGAAGCACTGAAGATGGGGTGGGTTCCGTGGACCAAGCCCCCCTAAGTCAGAAGGATTAGAGGAGATCTGGGAAGTGAAGAAAGGTTAGAAGTACCTATAGGAAAGAAAGATAAAGATTTTGGACTGGTCTTTGCATCTCTACTCTTGAATATATTTAAAATTTGTGGTGAGATCTCATATATGCAGAGTATTCTAGGAGACCTAAGAATATTGTGGAGCTAGAAGACTTCTGCAAGAAAGAGTGGGGGGGAAATCCATAAGCAAGAAAAGTTACATTCTTAACTGACTATAGGAAATGTAGAAGCTGTTACTTCTGCCAAAGGAGGTGTTATAAAGTATTGCCTGAAACGGTGTTCAGACTTCTGCACCACCTGCTATAGGCACTGTTGTCTTATTTTGAATTGGGAAACAACTGCACATAAATAGTATGTATTCAGATTTCCAGATAAACGATTCATTTTGTGCCATGTGGAGGTCATGTTAGCTTTGGTTCAAGATTCATTGAAACAGACAGTTTGACTAAACTTATGCATAGAATTATACCATACTGCTACCTCAAGGCACAAGGGAGTTTGAGAGTATAGACCCGAGGATTGCTTTCGAAAAGCCTCCTGGCTTTCCAAAAAGGATTAAAGACTGGCTCTGCCAGTGTGCGTGGGGCCACATGAGCTCTAACTGCTCCTGGGGGTGGCTAGCGCCCTGATGACGCTCCTTGAGTTATTTGCCAACTCTCCATCTTTCTCGGAAGCTATTTATTATTAGGATTGTTTTTATATTGTATTGTAATGGATTTTATCTCTGCTGTAAACTGCCCAGAGTCGTTTCAACAAGATGGGCGGTGACAAATGGGGTACATAAAAAATAAATAAATAAATAAATAAATAAATTGCGGGGAAAGGATGCTAGAAGCCTCCAACCTTTCACCCTATGGGTTCAGGTCTGCTGCTGTAGTATATAGATTATTTCACTTAATTCAAAATACAAACAGGTAGTCCTGGCACGTTTAAGGATGCTTCTATGCCTTCTACAGAAGGGGTCCTGGATTTTAGCTCCAGTATCTTTTGTTGCTGAGGTGCCATCTAACACAAGGCAACCTACCGAGAGAAAAGTTTCTCTGAGCATGCTAAGAGTTAACTGAAGGTCGGAGAATGAAGTTTTGAAGTTTCTTCTTTATTTTAGTTATTGGAAATTAGGATGCAATCCTACCCCTCTTTAATTCCACGGGGGTTGTCTTCTGAATGTACAGTAGCTGTATGATACGATTCTTTTAATATTTGATGGCATGTAAGTACGTATATTAGGATGTGGATATGTTCATGTAAAAATGAATTTAAATCATCAACATAGTACATTACCTTATATTTTATTACGTTATATTTGCATCACCACCAAAATACTTTAAGGGTTGCTCCCCAGATCATGCAATGCACATCAGAACATGCAATGCACATAAGAGACGGAAGCACCATTGTGGCCACCATCTTGACCTCATGACCACATCCTGCAGACACCTCTGTAGGGAGAAGAGCTTGTCCTCCCACTATCTCATAAAATAATGTATTACTCCAAAAGAAAGATTAGAAATTATCTTTCTCAAAGAATTGGTTGATAAAATGGGAGTAGAGATGGGAATATGATAATGAAGGCAGTTGAATTTGTCCTGCCTACTTTTCATTGGAGGTGGGGCTTAGAAAACCTCTGAAATTTAGTTTCTTTCAGGAAAAATGGCTCCCCTCAGCTGCTTTTCATTTTAGGAAGAATCCTTCTATTGGCATTTTCTATTGGAATTCTTCTACTGGGCATTTTCTATTGGATCTACAAACAGAATTGATGTGTGTGTGTGTGAGAGAGAGAGAGAGAGAGTGAGTGAGTGAATGAGCATGCAAGAGATGGTTTTATCAGGACATGTTCATGTCAGTGTGCTTTCTCTGACCAGGTAGGTAAAAGCACCATGCCAACCTTGGTTGGACTAGCAGAGTTGGATTCTACTTGGATAGGAGACCACTAGATATTTATGAAGATTCTCAGTCATCCAGATGGAATGGTCTAAAGGTTGAGTCATGGCAACTGGACTTCTTTTCTTTTTGGTTAGAGACGTTTCGCTACTTGTCCAAGCAGCTTCTTCAGTCTA